TATGTCTTTAATTTTTTCTTTTTCATTTATTTATTTTTTAAAGAAGATTTTACTTATTTGACAGAGAGACAGCAAGAGAGGGAACACAAGCAGGGGGAGTGGGAGAGGGAGAAGCAGGCTTCCCGCTGAGCAGGGAACCCGATGCAGGGCTTGATCCCAGGACTCTGGGATCATGACCTGAGCTGAAGGCAAACGCTTAACAACTGAGCCACCCAGGCACCCCTTCTTTTTCTTTTTTTAAAGACTTTATTTGTCAGAGAGAGAGAGAGAGAGAGCACAAGCAGGGGGAGAGGCTGAGCTGGGAGCCTGACATGGGCTCGATCCCAGGACCTGGAGATCACACCTGAGCCAAAGGCAGATGCTTAACCACCTGAGCCACCCAGGTGCCCTGCTGTGGGTTTTCATATAGGACTCTTAGAGCAGTCCCCTCTTATCTGTGCGGTATATGTTCCAAGACCCCCAGTGGATATCTGAAAATGTGGACAGAACCAAACCCTATATATACTATGTATTTTCCTAAACATGTATAGCTATGATTAACTTACAAATTAGGTACAGTAAGAGATTAAGAATAATAAAATACAATTATAGCAATTTACTGTAATAAAAGTTACCTGAATGTGGTCTTTCTCTTTCTCCCCTCTCTCAATATCTTACTATACTCATTCTTCCTTTCCATGTGATGATGTGAGATGACAAAATGCCTACCTAGTGAGATGAAGTGAAGTGAATGACGTAGGCATTGTGAGGGAGGACCATTTGCATCTAGACCAAGGCTGACCACGGGTAACTGACACAAAGGAAAGTGAAACTGTGGATAAGGACTACTGTATTAGGTTAAGGTAGTTTCCTTCTATTCTGTAAAATGATTTTTCTGCATCGAGATGATCGTTTTTTTCCCCTTTCATATTGTTGATGTGACATATTACATTGGTCTATTCTCTGACGCTGAACCATGCTTGCATTCCAAGAATAAATCCCACTTGGTCAGGGTGTATAATCCTTTTAATATGCTGCTAAAATCTGTTTGCCAGTATTATGTTGAGGACTTTGCATCAATGTTCATAAAGAATACTGGTTTGCTTTGTAGTTTTCTTGTCGACTCTTTGTGTGGCTTTGTCATCAAGACTATGCTGGCCTCACAGAATGAGTCAGGAAGTGTTTCCTTCTCTTTAATTTTTTTGGAAAAGTTTGAGATGGATTGGCACTAGTTTGGAAGAATTCATGAGTGAAACCATCAGGTTCAGACCGGACTTTTCTTTGTTGAGATTTCTGATTATTGATTCAATCACTTTACTAGTTATGAGTCTGTTCAGATTTTTCTATGTCTTCATGATTTAGTCTTGGTAGGTTTTGTGTTTCAAGAAATTTGTCCATCTCAACTAGGTAATCCCATTTTTTGGCGTACAACTGTCTGTGGCATTCTCTTATAATCCTCAGTATTTCTGTAGAATTGGTAGTGATGTGCTTTGCTGCTATTGAGTTGCAGTTCTTTATTTTATGTATTAGCCATTTATCAGATATATGTATTGCAAATATTTTCTCCCATCCTATGGGTTGCCTTTTTATCTTATTGATGGTTTCCTTTGCTGTATAGAAACTTTATAGTTTGATGTAGTCCCACTTGCTTAGCTCTGCTTTTGTTGCCCTTTGCTTCTGGAGTCAACCCCAAAAAGTCCTCGCCAAGAACGACGTCAAGGAGCTTATCCCCTATGGTTTCTTCTAGGAATTTTATGGTTTCAGGTGCTACCTTCAAGTCTTTAGTGCATCTTGGCTTGATTTCTGTATACGGTGTAGGGAGGGGTCCAGTTTTCCCAACACAATTTATTGAATAGACTGCATGTTCCGTACTATGTATTTGTGTCTCCTTTGATACAAATTAATTGATCATACAAGCGTGCGTTTATTTCTGAGCTCTCGATTCTAATACATTCATGTCATTTTTAAGCCAATATTACACTGTTTTGATTATTATAGTTTTGTAATATAGTTTGAAATCAGGGAGTGAGATGCCTCCACCTTTATTCTTTTTCAATTGCTTTCACTGTTTGGGATCTTAGGATTCTTTGTTCAATTTCTCTGAAATTTGCCATTGAAGTTTTGACTTTTATTGCACTGAATTTGTAGACTGCTTTGGGCAGTATGGACATTTTACCAATATTAATTCTTCCATTCCACGAGCATATTATTTAACAATAATTAATTCTTCCATTCCACTGAGCCTTATTCAATTTTTTTCATTAACGAATTATTAGTGTTTTCAATGTACATGACTTTCACATCCTTGGATAAATTTACTCTTAGGTATTTTATTTTCTATGCTGCTTTGCAAATGGGACTGTTTTCTTAATTTCTCTGACAGTTCATTATTAGAGTGTGGAAATGCAACTAAGTTTGATATTTTGATTTTGTATCCTGCAACCAGTTAACTGGTTATCAGTTCTGACAATTTTTTTGTAGAGTCTTTATGGTTTCCTATGTATAATGTCATGTCATCTGCAAATAGAGACAGTTTTACTTCTTCCTTTCCAATTTGGATGTATTTTCTTTTTCTTGCTTAATTGCTCTGGCTAGTACTTCCAGTACTATGTTGAATAAAAGTGGTAGGAATGTCCTTTTCCTGATCTGAAGCAGACTCCCCACTGAGCAGAGAGCCCGATGTGGGGCTTGATTTCAGGGCCTGAGATTATGCTCTGAGCTGAAGGCAGCCGTTTAACCAGCTGAGCCATCCAAGTGTCCCATCCTTTTCCTGATCTTAAGAGTAAAAGCTTTCAAACTTTTACCACTGAGTATGTTTTTAGCTGTGGGCTTCTTGTATATGGCCTTTATTATGTTGAGGTATGTCCCCTTATACCCACTTTGTCTAAAGTTTTTATCATAAATGGATGTTGAATTCCATTCTGTCACTTGGAGAGTTTAAGTCATCTACTTTTTTAGAAAAGATTTTATATTATTTTATTCTTATTTTTAAAAGATATTTGAGAGAGAGAGAGAGAGAGAGCGCGCGCACAAATGGGGGGAGGGGCAGAGGGACAAGCAGACTCCCCACTGAGCAGGGACCCCTATGCAGGGCTCAATCGCAGGACCCTGGGATCATGACCCGAGACAATGGCAGAATGCTTTACTAACTGACCCACATAGGCGCCCCTAAGGATTTTATTTTTAAGTAATCTCTTTGTCCTACATAGAGCTCAAACCCATAACCCCGAGTCAAGAGTCACAGGCTCCACTGACTGAACCAGCCAGGCACCCCAGGCCTCCAAAATTCTGGTAGGAAAACTGCAGATAATATTGAGGATCCCTTGTATGTGATTTGCTTGTCTAATGCTGCTTTCAGGATCTGCTCTTTATCTTTTGCAAGTTTGATTATGTTTCTTGCTGTGTGTCTCTTTGAGTTCATCTTACGTGGAGTTCAGTGAACTTTGTGCTTATTTACATTCACGTCTTCCATCAAATTTAGGAAGTTTTCAACCATTATTTGTTCAAATACTCTCTTTGCCTCTTTCTCTTTGCTCCTTCTGGGACACCCACAATGCATATGATGGTCTGGTGGATGGTGTCCCAGAGGTCCCCTAGGGTCTGTTCTCTTTCCTTCAGTGTTTTTCTTTCTGTTCCTCAGACTTGAGAATTTCCAATGTCATATCTTGGAGTTCATGGATTCTTTCTTCAGTCTGCTCAAGTCTGCCTCTGAATCCCTCTTGTGAATTTTTCATTTCAATTATACTTTTCAGAATTTGTTTTTGGTTTCTTTTTAGGCTATCTATCTCTTCATTGATATTTCCACTTTGCTCACACATCAGTGTCATGAATTTCTCCACATTGTCCCTTAGTTCTTTGAGCATCTTTGGACTTTTGTTTTATAAAGTCTTTGTCTAACCTATTTGCCATTGAGTCTTTTTAAGGGGCAGATTCTTTTGAATTATTACTTTTTCTTTGAATGGGCCATAGTTTCCTGTTTCTTTGTATTCCTTGTGATTTTTCCTTGTAACACCACAAATTTGGACCTAATAATGTGGTATGTCTGGAAATAAGGTTCTCTCCCAGGGCTCACATGTCCTAATCTTTAATTTCTGGCCCCCAAAAGGAAAAAAAAAAGTGAAAAATGAAGGGGAAGAAAATAGGGCCCTATCCCTTCAAATCTCCTGGAAGTCACTTCCGGTGGCAGGAGAGGGGCTTACAACAATGGTGGGAGGGACCACCACAATGGTTGCCCATCTTTGTCTGCACCTCTGTGATCAGAAGCAGCAATCAGAGCCCAGATTCCCCATTTTTAGAGGACAGGGTCCTCCTCACTCATCCCAGCTTCTGCAATCTGTGTGCAAACAGATTGGAACGCTGGCATGGCTACCTGCCATGTGGCTGGGGGTAGGGCACAGGGAGTTGCTACTGTTCTGAGTTGAAACTGACTAAATTGACTAAAAGGAACCACAATTTACCATCTCAGCCTTCCCCTAGTAGTTGCAAGCGTTCAACAGACTCCAAAATTGTTCCATCAGACAGATTCTGCTAGTATAATTATCTAAGGGGAGAGAGACTCCTGATGCTTCCTACTCCACCATCTTCCCAGAATCTTCTATTATCTTTTTTGAATTTTTTAGATGTAGTTTTTTGCTTTTAGTTAGATTCTTATCTATTTTACTTATTTTTGTTTCTCACTGTGACAAATCCAGTGGGCATGTAATAAATATGCTGAGTGACCTCACAGGAGAAGAACCATGTAACACAGTACCTGGCAAGTAAGCAGCTGATAAGTATTAGGTATTGCCATTATTATACTATCATTATTATACTATCATATATACTGTTATATTTTTCTGGGAATAGTTAAGATGAAGCGAAGAAATAGCAGCAGCTGACTATGCCTGGAGGATCTGGTATAACAGGGAATTGCCTGAGGTGCTTGTGTAAGCTGACTCACACTGCGGGAAAGACTCATCTCAATACCCTCAATGCCTTCTGCTCTCTTGGATTTGTGACTTCACCTTCCCCTGCTTCCTTACCATTTCTGCATTTCACAGTTTGGGTCACAGCTGTGGTTGATGAATCGGGCCTCATTCCCCATCCGGTAACTGTCAATCACCATCCCACTATCCAGGTTCAGGCAATAGTGGTCACTGTGATTATGATACTGCTCAATCATCCTGTTCCTAAAGAGGAGAGGAAGAATTGAAAGTCAATTAATGATTAAGTTGAAAGTAAATTTGAAATCTCCCATTTTTCATTCTAATCTGGTACCTCTGCCATTTTATTGGCGTATCATCATTCATCACTGTACCTGAACTCTTGTTCGCTGACAACCTCCCCTAGGTATTCAATGATGAACTGCCCAGCTTTCAGGGGTTCTTTGGTTCTGATTCCCCAACCTTTTTCCTCAGCTCGAAATCGTTCTAGACACTGTACCCACTCATGCCTCTGTATCCTCTGGTTACAGCACTGCTCACCACAGGGGCAAGTGTTGGGGGAACACTCAGCAAAGATCATTCTAGAAAGAAAAGGGATAATTGTATGTCAATTAATATTATATATGCTTTCATGAACCCACTTTTGTTTTATAGGAAGTTTTAAAATACATTGTTTTTATTTTAACAAGGTTGGATTAGTTAACAGGGTTCGTAAGGGCAAAGAGTATACAACTTCAAAACTTAATAATACTGAAAATTTCCAAGTGAAGTTATAAATGCTGAATAGATTAAGCTAACTGTCCACTAAGCATCCTGGGTAAACACAATCATGTTTAGCTCTGTGCTAAGAATAAAACTACAATAAAGCTACAACCCATAGAGGAATTAATAATTTGAAGATTACATGGCATTCTTATTTTGAAGTAGCTGATGGGCATTTACAGACTTTTTTTCTTTTGAAATTGTAGTAAAATCACACATAAACTTTACACTGTAAATATTTTTAAGTATACAGTTCAGTACATTTGCAGTTTCTTTTTTTAAGATTTTATTTGAGAGCGAGAGAGAGACAGGGAGCATGAGCAGTAGGGAGGAGCAGAGGGAGAGGGAGAACCACACTCTCCGCTAAGCAGGGAGCCCGATGTGGGACTCGATTCCAGGACTCCAGGATCATGACCTGAGCTGAAAGTAGATGCTCAACCGACTGAGCACCCCCAGGTGACCCTGCACTGTCATTTTATAAGAATTTTACATTTCATTAGTGTAAATGACATTTCCATATTGAAATAACACTTCTAGTCTCTATACTAGCTGAATTTATAACCTCTAGTGAATTAACAAGCAAAATATTCTCCACATGGTAGAGAAAAGCTGTTATGCACATGATTTCTAACTGCTTTGTTTTTTTACATTTCTGGATCTTTCAGAGAAGCCATTTAGTTTTGGTGTATGGTTTAGAATCCCAGTAAGGCTACTGAACATGATTAAAACAAGGGAGGATCAAGAATATAATGGTAGATCAGAATATCACATTATATTTTATATAACATATATATATACACACACACACACATCCGTAACTTATAAATCTTGTAAAAAAAAAGCATTTAACATTTTATAATATAAAGTACTTTCATAGCCATTCTTCAAATAAATATCCTTATCTAAAGGGCAGAACACACAGTGTCAAATCACATAAATGAGCAGTAAGCAGAGAAAGTATCCACACTGGGATTATTCAATCAAGACAATCAGCTTAATTTGTGAGAAAGACACTGCGTTACCGTCAAATTCACCACCTTTTTTCTTTCTTTTAATGAATTTTTCGTTGAATGAACACAACTGAACACCCCTCATGAAAATGCTCTCCTTCTTGATCTTTTAGGATAATGGATTTCCCACCTTTCCAATAACGCATTTTTTTTTTTTTTTTAAAGAAAACCAGAAATCCTTTTTTCCCTCTCTACCATTCATGGCACATTCCTGTTCCTCTTATCTTTAGAAGGCTCATTCACAGAGGATGGGGGGATGGGGTAACTGGGTGATGGGCATTAAGGAGGGCATGTGATGTAATAAGCACTGGGTGTTATATGCAATTGATAATCACTGAACTGTACCTCTGAAACTAATAATACACTACATGTTAATTAATTGAATTCAAATAAAAAAAAAAAGAAGGTTCATTCATGTTCATAGTTTCAATTGTAACTCTCTCTTAACAATACCCCACCTGAATTTTCATCATACCTCAAAACACACAAAACAATAAGCTTTATGTGGATAAAAGAACTAAAATATAACAGAGTACTGAGATGAGATTTTATTTATTTATTTATTTATTTATTTATTTATTTATTTATTTTTAAAGATTTTATTTATTTGACAGAGAGAGAGAGTGACAGAGAGAGAGCCCAAGCAAGGGGAGCGGCAGGCAGGCAGAGGGAGAGGGAGAAGCAGGCTTCCCACTAAGCAGGGAGCCCGATGTGGGGCTCAATCTCAGGACCCTGGGATCATGACCTGAGCCAAAGGCAGACGCTTAACCAACTGAGCCACCCAGGTGCCCTGAGATGAAAGAGATCTTATTTTATTTTATTTTTTCAAAAGATTTTATTTATTTGACAGAGAGAGACACAGCGAGAGAGGGAGCACAAGCAGGGGGAGTGGGAGAGGGAGAAGCAGGCTCCCCACTGAGCAAGGAGCCCGATGTGGGACTGGATCCCAGGACCCTGGGATCATGACCCGAGCCGAAGGCAGATGCTTAACGACTGAGCCACCCAGATGCCTTGAGATGGAAGAGATTTTAAAATCAATTTTAAAAAATTTCTGCTGGAGAACACTCAATTGTTGAAAATTTGTGGTTTCTACAGTTGAAGGCACTGAAATACATTCCATTCGTTTCAATTATCAAGATAAGTCCTTTACGTAAAAAGTAAAACATGGTTCTATTCATTGTGTCTGGAAAACAAACCGTAAACTTATCAAAATCTGAAAGTAGGTGCTGCAAACTAAGATGTGAAGTTGTTGACTTACAGCATAAATTGCCATTATCTTTAGCCACATAATGCCGTTCACTGTAAGACTAGAGAATTTTCCTCCTTCTAAATATAGACCTAGATTGGAAAGCTCCTTCCCTCACATGGTGAGACTCAGTGTTTAATAGTCACTGGCAAGTGTACTAGTGTGACTGACTTAACTCGTTAAGGACGTCAGACCATCCCGTGAGTGGAGATGGGTTTTCACTTGAAAAATATTCCCACTACAAATCATGCCAGCTCAGGAAGGAGTAAGCCTTGGAGGCAGGGGAGGGGATCCTCTCTACTTGGGGACCAAGAATTTGAAGGCCTACTGCTCTTCTGCAGCAAAAGGTGAAGGATCTCACTGTGGGGTAAGAGCAAGTAAACTGTACTCAACAAAGGAGCACAGACAGGATCTAACAGGGAGTTAGCCAGGGACCCGATGTTCAGTTTGTGGCACGTGAACTCAAGAGTAATCCCTTCTGGTGGCATTACAAGGCTTACCTGGCAATACACTTTTATCTTCCCCTAAGTATTTGGCTTTGTTATACAACATGTTTGTTTTTGTGAGAACTGAGAGAGTGGGCTCTGTACATGCTGTGAACAAATGGGTACAGGGTTAAAAAGCAGCTTGAAATGAATTATGAGACTCTGCTCTAGGGAATGTGGAAAATTCTGGAGCTGTAAGGGGTTTGATATGGACGGTGTACAGACATAAATATTAACTAGGGAAGATCTTATAGAATTTATAAACAACACTGATGATTCCTAGAAATTGTTTAGAAGAGGCCATGTTTTAAAAATATTTTATAAAAACCCATTACGTATTTTTAAAAACAGTCCTGAATTCAGTTTCCTTTGGGCTATGTGAACCTTATATAGACATAAAATTGAATCTTACAGATATTTGAGTTTTCCCCACAAATATTTACAAAACCTTGAATACATTCAAGACAGGAAAGACATTTTAGGTAGCTCCATTTAACTAAATCTTTATGTGGGTTGCTTTTAAATATATATGGAAGCATCCACTGAATAATGTATTTTGATTTTTCTTAGATATTTATGCATTTATCACCTCATCATTAGATGCATGAATATGTAGGGTTCATATTTTATTTATTTGTTTGTTTGGCGGGGGGGGCAGAGGGAGAGGGAGAAGCAGACTCCCCACTGAGCAGAGAGCCCGATGCGGGGCTTGATCCCAGGACCCTGGGATCATGACCTGAGCCAAAGGCAGACATTTAACTGACTGAGCCACCCAGCCGCCCCTGTAGGGTTCATATTCTCATAAAGTTGGCAGCACCGTATCTGAGTTGTTTTTTTTTTTTTTTTTTAAGAAAGACAACACAATGGTGAGGACAAATGTGACACCCATAGTAACAAAAATGATACAAGACAATCAATGTAATTACGTAAAGGTAAATATTCAGATTTCAGTTCTATGTGATTAAAAGACTAACGACTTACACAATAAGCAGTGTATACAGTGGAAAGGACATGACTTTTGAATCAAACACACATGGGTTCAAATTCTGTCACTTAAGTGTTGTATATGATACGGAGCAACTTACTATCCAAACTCTAGGATCCTTCATTCATAAAATATAAAACTATTACCTATCTCATTAGACTACTGTGAAAAAGAGAGGAACTAAACCAATGAGATGGTAGCTATATTATGGCAATTTCATAGACAATACAATATCATATAAAAAACAGTAATGTTAGCATACAGAGGAATGCAAATTTAAGCAATTCTAAACACATATGATATTCCCAAACGTTAAACCAATGAAATATTAAAGCACCAAAAATAAAGTTAGATGCGAATGCCTAAAGGAGGTGGAACTATAGGGAAGTGAGTATATTCATATCCTGGTGGTGATACTCCAAATTAACTCATTAATTTATGAGAGCTACTAGATAGTATATAGTAAGAATTATAAATGTTCATATAGTTTGTTCAGATAATTCTTCTTCTGAGAGTACATCTTAAGGGTTAAAAAAAAGGAATCTACAGTTTTACAGTAGTGTGATTTTTAATAGCAAAACATTGGGAATAATTTGAATGACGAACCACAGGAGAATGGCAAACTAGGGCATATCAACCTATGGAAGATAACAGAACTCCTAAAAATGGTGAGGTTGTGGACCACACTGATACATAAAAGTGTATATATAGGGCGCCTGGGTGGCTCAGTTGGTTAAGCGGCTGCCTTTGGCTCAGGTCATGATCCTGGAGTCCCGGGATCGAGTCCCGCATCGGGCTCCCTGTTCGGCAGGGAGTCTGCTTCTCCCTCTGGCCCTCCTCCCTCTCATGTGCTCTCTCTCTCATTCTCTCTCTCAAATAAATAAATAAAATCTTTAAAAAAAAAAAGTGTATATATATAAAAAGGAAAAAAAAAGACCAAAAAAGAAAAAATAAGTATATACATATAAAAAACATCTGTGAGTGAAGAAAAATCAGTGCACAACACAGACGAGGCGAGCAGCTATGACTCCTGAAACCACGTGTGTGTATGTACAAGATGTGAGTTAACAATGATGTGGTGTAAGGCAGAATTTACCAGCTGCCATGTTGACAGAGGAGCTACTAAAACATCGATTCCCTTAGCCCATAGGACAGTTGACCAGAGACTGCGGAAGCAGTTGTCTTTGGCCAGGAAAACTATCTAGAAGAGAAAGCACTGATGTAAAGTTCATTGGTTCTTTTTTACTGTAAATTTGCTTATGTTACTAAGACCAACAAATCAGATGTCCATTCTTCGGTCTCTATCAGACATTTCCATTTTGAAATCTCCGTGTCATTTGGAACTTAATGGCCCCAAATGAAAATCATAGTTTTGACCCCCAAACTGGCCAGACCCCATACTTTCATTCTCTGACAAAAGCAAAACCACCTCTCATCAGCACCACTGACCCAGTCAGCACATGTGCATCTATGTGCGTATGCTAATGGGTCACCATCCCAGTTTTCCTTCGGAATACATCATGCCTTTCTTCCTTCTCACTGCCACCATCCTACCTTACTCCCTCATTATGGCTACCATTTATGGAGAGTTTGGAAAGTTTCTAAACTATGCTGAATACTTTATGAACATTGTCTCATAAAATCCTCACCCCCAGCCCCACATAAAGAAGGTACCATTTTTATTAGAGGGGTTAAATAACTTTCTTCAGGTCTCCTAAGTAATAAGAGGATTTAAACTTGGGTATGTTAAAACCCTAAATCTCATTCTTTTTCTGTTACTCCATTCAGCCCATCTGATGGGCTGAATGCTTGTGTCTCCCTAAAATTAACAGCTGAAGCCCCAGCCCCCAATGTAATGGTTATTTGGAAGTAGAGTCTCTGGGAGGTCAACTGGCTTATATTAGAGTATAAGGGTAGGAGGAACTGCATGATGGAATTAGTGTCCCCACAAGAAGAGGAACAGAGAGCTCTTTCTCCATAAGCATGCACTAAGGAAAGGCCACGTGAACACACAGGGAGAAAGTGGCTGTCTATAAGCCAGGACGTGGGTCCTCACCAGACATCAAATACTTGCATCTTGACCTTGGACTTCCCAGCCTCCAGAACGATGAGAAATAAATTTCTGCTGTTTAAGTCACCAGGGCTATGGTATTTCGCCATAACAGCCCAAGAAGATTAAGACAGCCCATCAATTAGGTTTTATAGAGCTTTGTGCAACTTCAGGAGAGGAAATCAAAGAGCTTATTTAACTTTTCCCTCCAAAAAAAGTGTCATCTATCCGAAAGCCTGTGCTTTCAGAGAAGTCAGTTTAGTACAGTACCTGTTGAGGCAGTCGTCCACACAGCCCTTCCCGGTGTCATCCTCTGGCTTCTTACAGTTACAGGTGGTGGCCTCGTAACCAGAAAGGGGCTTGACATCAACGTAGACATCTTGAGAGAAGATAGCAAAGCGTAATTTGTGAACATAGAGGATAATTTTTTAAGTGCTAGGCTAAGAAGAACATTGATGGTATGAAGGCAGAAAAAAATAGCTCCCAAGTTACTCACTTGAACGGATTTTTTTATATAGTGGGACATCTGGCTTTTTGTATAGCTAGAAGAAAAAAAGGAAAAATTTTGATACAGCATTTAACTTCAAATGCCAGACAAGCAGCATCAATCACTAAAAATATAAGAAATTATCCACGTGCTCTGCTCATATGGGAATATTTATAAGACTTCCTGGGTTGGATACGTTTGAGGGAAATTCTTGGTGTGATCACTTTTTACACTCTGAAATAAAAAGTGACTTACTAGATCAGGGTGAGAGAGAAACAGATGCAACAGAAGAAACCTGAAATAGCTTCATGAGAACACATTCTCAATTATGTGCATGCTGTGGACAGACTTAAAAATCACACTGTAAAACGAAGCTATTCTTTTGGATACATTAACTCAATTTGCCTCTATGAAAAGAAAGGAAAACACTCATAGGGCTTGTTGGGACGGTCTGGGTAGTATACGAGATTAAAAAGATGAGCACCCTGGCCTTTTCAGGGTGGGTATTCTAGAAAAACACATTTCACATTTTAATTAAGGCAATTAATTTAGTGAATACAGGAGAGAGGAAAGGCAGAAAATAAAGCTCTCATATTGCAATTAAGAATACATTCAGCACAAAAAAAAAAAAAGAAAAGAAAAAAAAGGAAGGTATCAAAAGAGAGGTGGTCAGCTGGCCAGTGTTTTACAGTAAGTGCACAAAAGCAGCACCGTGGTCTAAGTGAGGGTCTATAAACCTGCAAAAAAAACCCAAACCCACCGCCATTTTTCAATGGGGATAGAGCACTGTCTCCTTCATGGTCACGACCTCGGAAACAGATATCTAACATATTGGTCCTCTTAGAATTCGAGAGAGGCCACCCAGAGAAGAGAATGCGGAGGGGAATGTCCACTGCTTTCGGCTTTCCAAAACAGAACTTTGGTGGAATTCTGGCAAAGGTCAGGAGCCTATTCACCTCATTTGCACGACAACTTCTATTTCCTGATGCTGTTCTCAACATGAGGCCTGGGGCTACAGCTACAAGAACTCTAGGAATTACTGGGGGAAACTTTACAATTAGGGAAGCAGCAGAGAAAAACAGCACCTTCCTATTTTTAGTTCCCAACATAAAGATCTTTTAAAAGTATACATTTAAACATTTTCCCTGTTTCCTCTGGTAGAAGAATCTCCTTTGTATGTGAAAAATAAATTCCAAACTGATGGGAAGGAGCCAACAGAAATAAAGCCTGAAATTTCTTAGTGCTGCTGGCAGTACATCTAAATTCTCCTGGGACCTGCATCAAACAGGATTCTCACAGAACAGAGTTCTGCTACCAAAATAAAAGTCCAGACTCATAACAGAAGGTTGCCTACGGAAGCAGGAACTCACTGCTATTCTGAAGTACGAGCAAAGACAAATAGGGCACATTAGATATGGATGCAAGTTAATTTTTCCTAGTCTCTAACCTTCACAGGGACAGTTCTCTATACTTCCTAAGAGGACAGCACAGAGCACTTGTTTCACAAGGAGGCAGCGAGAGACTTGCATCCCCCCCACCCAAGAATAAAACCTGGTAAGGTAAGATAGGCTCCTGTACCTGATTGTGCTTCCACTGCCAAAGGATGTCATAGGGAAGCTGGAAGTCGATTCTCTTTTGCCTTAGATACTTCCCTGAATCAAAAAAAATACTATCAATTTCAGTATCTATTCATACAAAGGGTCAAACAGTCACAAGATCTAATATGCACTGGTTAGAAAAATAAAGATTTAATATTTAATTTTATGGATTTTCCATCACCAATTTTTAATTTTAGCTACTCTTTTCCATCATGCTCCAGGTGGTAAATGCTAAAGATATGTTTTAATAGTAGCCTATATAAAACAACAAAGCAAACTTACTATCAAAAAACACACAGGTCATTATGAAGCCAACTAAAAGCTAAGAATTGTTTGATTATTAAAATTATTAACTAGAGCATCTGGCAGCTATTCTCCTACATTATTATACACAATATAAGGTTGTCTGTAAAAACGGGAAGTATAAGAACTTTCTAAAATAGGAGTCCCTGGATTTAAATAACTCAAGAGTATTTACATTCAAATTTATGATCTGTTAACATTTACCACCCGCCCCCCCCCCCCCGCCTTGAAGTAGAACTACTAGTAAAAGTCAAAAGCCCGTTTCCACCTTAAAGAGGCTGCCTCAATTTCCTTACTTACTCTCTGACCTTCCTGCCCTTTAGGTGACTCACTTCTCACAGGAAGCTAAAACTTCTTGTTGTCTGGGTATTCATCCTATCACTGTCTCTAGCCCAGTAGTTCTCAAGGCTCTGCCAATCCTGGGGGATCCAGGGGTAAAGACTGTCTTAGAACTACTGAGTACTCAGTGCTCAGATGTTACATGCCATTTTCACTAGGCTGACATCTGTATTAATGGTATGAAAGCAACGGTGGGTAGGACTGCTGGTATCTTAGTAGCAATAAGGCAAGTGGCAGAAAACTGTACCGGAAGAATGAAACTAATAGAAATGAACCATGCCAGCATCAGAGAAGCATTAAACATTAAGAATGCTTTTGAGGAACCTATAAAAATTGAATTAAATCTTGACCCACAAGCCAGGAATGTTAATATTCTGCAAGGCACAAAGGAAGGACACCTGAAGCACTGTGCCTCACCCCTGGTGGCCGTGTCCCGCAAATGTGCCCGGGCAGACACAACGGCGAGCTGGACTAGCTTCTTCCATGGAATATACCAGCTGTACTAGAAAGAGTAACTCACAAACTACGGTTATTCAGACTTAGGAAGTGAAAATAAGTGAAGTGAGCTTGTTACTTCAAGAAACAACTGAAAATATCTGTTTCCAGTGATAAAATTTGAGTTTGAAGTGAATGCTGGAATTTTGGAAAACTTGTGTCCACTACCGTAAGAATCTTATTTTCCAATACTTAAAATTTCCTCACGAAATAGGTGGGAAGATGCACAAATGTGAATGGTTTTGGATGCATACAGGGAATGGAAGAGCAATATAATTCAGTGAATCAGAATTTCTTAATGACCAATACATGAAGTGATAAAATCACACATGGGTAAAAAAATCCATTTAAGTTCCAAGAGAGACCAATGGACTTTAATGTAACAGAATACAAAAAGTTAACTGATTTCATACTCTACATTGCAACTCACCTTTAAGGAACTATTACATTTATATTTTTGCTAGAGTGTCAAAGAAGAATTATCTGAAATTATTAAAATATTCATATCTTTTATAACTTATTAACCTGTGTGAGGACAGATTTCTTCATGTACTTAAACCAAAGTAACATCATAATAGACTCAATGCAAAAATAGATTAGAAAATCCAGTTGTCTTATATTAAGCTAAACATCAAAGAGATTTACAAAAATGTAAAATAAAGTCACTTTTCTTATGAAATTTTTCTTTGGAAAAGTTATTTCTCATAAAAATATGCTATTTATGTTAACACATAATGTGTAATGAGTTTATCTGACAAATCTGAAGATACAGCAGCATGGATTACAGGTATATCGTGGAAGAAATAACTTGTGGAGTTAAAGTAATATAACAAGATTTTGCGGTTACAGCTGGTAAAAGACCAGAGTCTACTTGTTGATAGGGAAGCAAAGCTGAATGTGTAACTACAGAGTATGCAATGAAAAAGTGGAAACAACGTAAAGTTTATCAAAGGTAAGCAAACTTTGGTACATTCAAATAATGAGATATGCAGCTAGAGAAATTAAATGAGGTATATATTTACTCATATGGACACACTCTCCAAGTTGCAAAAAAAATAAAGCATGGGCTCATTTAAAAAAAAAAAAACTTTGAAACATTAAAGCTATATGTGGTGGGAACAGCCTGGCAAAGGGCATGAGGGCACTTTCTGGATGAGGACACTGTTCTTTTCAAGATTTTTTATTTATTTGAGAGAGAGAGAGAGAGAGAGAGCCCGAGCAGGGTGAGGGGCAGAGGGAAAGCAGACTCCCCACTGAGCAGGGAGCCCGATGCAGGACTCTATCCCAGGACCCCGGGATCAACCTGAGCTGAAGGCAGACACTCAACTGACTGAGCCACCCAGGCGCCCCGAGGACTCTGTTCTTGAGGAGGGGTTGGATTATGCAGGTATATGAAAGAAACCACAGCAAACGTGCATTTAAGATTTATGCATTTTAGGGAGGGTCTGGGTGGTTCAGTGGGTTGAGCAACTGACTCTTGATTTTGACTCAGGTCATGACCTCAGGGTTGTGAGGTCGAGAGTCTCTCATTGGCTCCATGTGGTCTTCTTGAGATTCTCCACTCCTCCCTCTGCCCCTCCCCTTGCTTGTACTCAAGCTCTCTCTTTCTTAAATGGATAAATCTTAAAAAAAAAAGATTGGGGGCCTGGGTGGCTCAGTCGGTTGGGCGGCCGACTCTTGGTCTTGGTTTAGGTCATGATCTCGGTGGTCAGGGGATTAAGCCCTACATCGGGCTCTGCATTTAGTGGGAAGTCTGCTTGAGATTCTTTCTCCTTCCCCCTCTGCCCCTACCCCTGCTCTGACTCTCTCTAAAAATAAATATATCTTAAAAAAAAAAAGATTTATGGATTTTATTAATGGTAAATGTACCTCAAAAGAAAAATCTGTAAACAAATACTGAGACCTTGGTTCTGATACGTATGCTGAAATAGGGGGAGGTGTATCACTTTCTGCAATTTACTTTGGAGTGCACCCAAAAATAAGATGAATTAATATATGGATAGATAAATATATGATAAATCAAGGTTGAATGTTAATGACAAAATGTAAGTGATGGGATATTGCACATTCACCGTAGAGTTTTTTCAATTTTTTCCTTATTTCTTAATTTTTAAATTCTTTTTAGCAGGCTCTACACCCAGCGTGGAGCCCAACCCAGGGCTTGCACTCACGACACTGAGATCAAGACCTGAGCTGAGATCAAGAGTAGGCTGCTGAAGTGATTGAGCCCCCCTGGGCTCCCCACAATTTTTTGTTTACTGAAAAATTTTACAGTAAATTGCTGGAAGACAGATATATATAAAGGAAAAAAGTTTGAAAGGGTATATACTAAATTATTATATTTCTGGGAAGGGGGAGCTTTATCTTTTAATTCATACCCTTCTCTATTACAATTCCTTTGCAAGTATGTACTCACTGTTTCTTAGTAACAATACAAATGTAATTTTTTAAAAAGTCAAAATTGGTCCTCAGAAGATAGGATAAACCCCTTAATGCAAAGGGATAACTCCTTTTTTTGCGAGCAATACCTGATGTATTTTCTGTAGAAGGCATAAAAGAGTGAAAGAGAAACCAGTAAGTTAATAAAAGAATACTTTCTCGACGGGGTGCCTGGGTAGCTCAGTCGGTTAAGCGCCTGCCTTCAGCTCAGGTCATGATCCCAGGGTTCTGGGATTGAGTCCCACATTGGGCTCCCTGCTCAGCGGGGAGCCTGCTTCTCCCTCTGTCCCCTGCTTGTGCTCTCTCTCAAATAAATAAATAAAATCTTTAAAAATAATAATAATAAAAAGAATACTTTCTTGGGGTGCCTGGGTGGCTCAGTCAGTTTAGCATCTGACTCTTGGTTTCAGCTCAGGTCATGATCTCATGGGTCATGAGGTGGAGCCCCAAGTCCGGCTCTGCACTCAGTGGGAGTCTGCTTGGATATTCTTTCCCTCTGCCCTTTCCCCTGGTCTCTCTAAAATAAATTAATAAATCTTAAAAAAAAAAAAAAAGAATACTTTCTCTTTTTAAGAAATCATTCACATCTACCTCAACTAAACTCAAAGACATAATTTTTCCCACAGTCCAACATCTTGAATTTTGCTAGCAATGAGTCTCCATAGATGTATTAAAAAAGAGAGAAGAGACCCCAAATGGAGTCACTTGTGCTAAGCCAAATCACCAAACTAGGCCTTACTATCTCTTACCTAATAGCAGTTTAAACCTTCTCCAGAAAGTCTTAACCAGTCAGCACCAATGACCCTTTTCTAAATCCCCCAGAGGAAGATGAGGTGAGCTGACCTTTCCTTATCCTTTCACACTTCTGCCCAGAAAAGCCTTCCCTTTCGTACAGCTCTTTGGAACAACTTTCCACTTGCTGGATGGGATGCATTGGGGAATGAAGCCAAGTGATCTTTAAGTTCATTTGGTTGAAATGCTGGTGTTTAACAGTTGTTCTGGTGCCTTCCCTGGCATTATTTGTGTCCCTGTACTGTAATTCACATCCTAAGAGCCAGGGGAAGAAATGATGGCTCATTCTTTCCTTTTCTTTAACATTTCTAAAACCAGAGAGAGCTCGGACTCATTTCTAAGAAGTGAGACCTACCTGAAGAGATTTCCTTAAATCAAATTCTGCTGGACAGAATACCTCAGGGGAATCTAATCAGGAGCATCTCATTTAAAAAAAAAAAAAAAAAGGGCGGGGGGGATTCTTTAGCTAATCCCCATTTTTAAAAATGGGGGAAAATCACTTTATATCCAAGTGAAAATTAGATGAAATCACATCTTTTGTGGATTTTTCTTATTGTGTGCTAAAGTCTTGAGATCTCAAGTACTGCCACTTATCTCTAGGGAAGGAGCAAAGAAATCCTTTACTTTTCTCTTTAAAAGAAAACTGAACTTGTACAACAAAGTCATTTTAAAGAGGACAAATAGTACAGAAGCTCTAAAGCCTGTGCTGACCTTGAAATCTAAAAGGGGGAAGTCATGGGACGCCTGGGGAAAAAAAAAATAGAAGGGGGAAGTCATGATGATTTTCTTTCACAAAATCAATCCTAACATGAAGAGGAAATGAATAGAGGACTCGGAGGCAGAACATCTCCACAAACACACTCCACTGATAATTAGGTAGCTAGGCAAATGAGGAAGTCAAAGGTGAGGGAGGTACCCAATAGAAAGGAGAAAAATAACAATCTCCTTTTCCAGAAGAGATCTTAAAATCTGACAAAAACTTGGTTGTTTTTTTTTTTTTTTTTTTTTTAAATAAGAATAAAGTGACTGACTTCAGATAAAGCTCAGCTTGTTTATATACGATCTGAGTACCGGGTTAGAATATCACTCTACAAACAGATAACAATTATTCATTTAGCCCTTGTTATTCTGCGTAAATTGTCCTGGAATTCCCCCCTAAAAAACCTATAGTACTATTTCACTGAAAGGAGTAGTGTATCTATGAAATGTGTGCCATTAAGGAGGTTATAAATAATGATCAAGGATACCTACAGGAAACCGTTTAAGTTTCACTAAACAAAACACAGGTAGAATTTGAGCTTTTGGTTTTGTCAGCCTGAGGGAAAATAGGTGCAACCCAGAAATACACGGACAGTGGGATTTCTCCCCAGTGGAAAACTGTCAGCCCCATGGAAGCAAGGATCTTCACCTGTTTTGCTTACTGGTGTGTCCCAAACATCTAGAAAACTGCCTGATCAAAAAGTAGGCACTGAACAAGTATTTTCTGAATGAATGAATGCAAACATGTATTCCATGGCATAAGCTTTGAGATACAGCCCCAACTGTTCTCATTCATTCATTCAGGATTTTATTTTTTATTTTTAGTAAGCTCTACACTCAATGTGGGGCCCCAACTCACAGCCCTGAGCTCAAGAGTCACCAGCTCCGCGGACTGAGCTGGCCGGGTGCCCCCACTGTTTTCTTTCAACTCTACGAAGCAGCAGCATCACCTTTACCATGTTGTTGCAAATGGCAAGACTCTTCTTTTTTTGCCTTCCTTTCCCCTTTTCTTTTAACGAGGCTGAGTAATACTCTACTGCATGTATATACTGCCTCTTCTTCATTCATTCATCCCTCGATGGACACTTAGGTTGCTTCCATGTCTTGCCTATTGTAGATAATGCTGCTATGAACATGGGGGTACAGATATTTTTTTGAGCTAGTGTTTTCATTTCCTTTGGATATATTCCCAGAAGTGGAGTTGCTGGATCACATGATCATTCTATTTTTAATTTTTTGAGGATCCTCCATACAGTTTTCCATAATGGCTGTACCAGCACAATTTCTTAAATACAACTAGCTCCCTCCTGCTTTCACATTCTCATGTGTCATTCTTCTCACCTGAAATTGAATCCTCTCAACCAAATTAAGCCATCTGCCTCAATTTTTAAAAAAGTTTTATTTATTCAAGTAAGGTCTATACCCAACATGGGGCTCAAACTCATGACCCCGAGATCAAGAGTCACGTATTCTACTGACTGAGCCAGACAGGTGCCCCCCCACTTGCCTCAGTCTAAACCTTACTTAAAAATCTGTAATTTTAACATAGCTATCATAAACAACCATATTCAACCCTGATTACTAGAGCCACTCTCTTTTATTTTTTATTTTTTTAAAGATTTTATTTATTTATTTGAGACAGAATGAGACAGAGAGAGCACGAGAGGGAGGAGGGTCAGAGGGAGAAGCAGACTCCCTGCCGAGCAGGGAGCCCGATGCGGGACTCGATCCCGGGACTCCAGGATCATGACCTGAGCCGAAGGCAGTTGCTTAACCGACTGAGCCACCCAGGCGCCCTAGAGCCACTCTCTTTTATACGGTAGTTAATGTAATTAAATTTATCAATCTTTTCTTCTGGTGTTTATACATTTTGTGGTCTTCCCTGTCCATGTCATAAAGATATTATATTTATCACATATCTGGTAAGTAATTAATATCCAGAATATATACAGAACTCCCAAAGCTCAAGAACAAGGAACAAAGGACTCAATTCAAAAGTGGACAAGCACTTGAATACACATTTCACCAAAGAAGACATACAAATGGCCAGAAGTACATGAAGAGAGGTCAACATTACTATTAGGGAAATGCAAATCAAAACCCACTAGAATGGCTATCATGAAAAAATAACAGAAAATGACAAGTGTTACCGAAGATGTGGAGAAACTGAACTCTCAAGAATTGCTGGTGGGGATATCAAAGTGGTGCAGCCATGGTGGCAAACAGTGCGGCAGATCCCAAAAATTAACTGTAGACTCACCATATGAGCCAGCAATCCCACCTCTGGGTATATAGACAAAAGAATTGAAAGCGGGGTCCTCAACAGAGAATTGTAAACCAATGTTCATAGCAGCATTATTCACAACTGCAAAAAGGAGGAAACAACAGAAATGTCCATCGGTGGATGAATGGATAAACAAAATATGGACTGTGTGTGTACACACAGGAATATTACTCAGCATTAAAAAGGAATGAAATTCTCATATATGCTACAACACAGAAGAAGAACCTTAAGGACATTATGCTAAGTGAAATATGGGAGACCCCAAAGGACAAATATTGTAATGACTCCACTATATGAGGTACCTAAAACCGTCAAATTCATAGGGATAAAAAGAATAACAGTAGTTACCAGGGGCTGAGGGAATGGGCAATTATTATTTAATGGGCACAGAGTTTCAGTTTGGGATGATGAAAAAATTCTGGAGAGGGATGGGGTTATGGTTGCACAATAATGTGAATGTACTTAATGCCACTGAACCTTACGCTGAGAAATGGAAATGAAAAGTACAAATTCTAAGTTACGTATATTTTACCACAAGTTAAAAACATTAATAACGTAATGCACCAAAAACCACTATGCTTTAAATGGGTGAATTGTAGGATATGTGAATTATGCCTCAATATGTTGTTAAAAAATATAGCAGTGTTAAGATTTTTTGCTTCGTTTACTAAAGAGTTACTTAGAAGACTCAAAAGGAGAAGGAAAGCCTATTGTATATGCCCATAAATGTACTTACTGTTCCTTCTGCTTTCCTGATGTTCCAAGGTCCCTTCTGGTATTTCTTTTCTGTTAGAAACCTTCTTTTATCCACAGAGTAGGTCTACTGGCAACATATTCTTTTAGATATCATCCTTCATCTAGGAAGGCTTTGATTCTCATTTAATTCCTAAAGGATACTTTCACTGGGTTTAAAATTCTGGCTAGACACTTTTTCTTTCAGCACTTGAAAAATGTTGTGCCATTTCCCTGGATTCAGACAAGCAATCCACTATTGTCTGAACTGCCTTATCCCTATAGGTAGGGATTCATTTCTCTCTCAGTTTTACAACTGCTGTGTCTTTAGAGGGCTGAAGTTGGACTAGGATATGCCTCCACAGGAATCTCTTCGAGTGTGTCCTGCTAGGTTTGATCATCGACTTCCATTAGTAGCTTCATGTCTCCTGCCAAATCTGCGAAGTTTTCAGCCACTATTTACCAAAGTAGTTTTTCATCTCCGTGTTTCTTTCTTCCTTCCAGCACACGGAGGATACAAATGTCGCCCTTTTGTCATGATCCCACAGACTCTGTCTTTTTTAGGTCTACTTTCTCTCTTGTTCGGATGGGACCGATTCCTTCCTGTGCCTCCTTCATCTTGCTGCTGAGCACATCCCTAAGCCTTAACAGCAGCTACTGCATCTTTCAATTCTAAAATTCTGACTTGGAATTCTTTCTATTTCCCTCCTGAGGCTTTCTACTGTTTTCATGTTTCAAGCATATTATTACTTGTTGAAGTGTGTGTTTGGGGGGGCTAGTGTTTTTAAAAATCTAAATGCTTTAAAATCTTTGTCAGGTAATTCTAACATCTTGATGTTGGCATGTACTGACTGCCTTTTAAAATTCAGTTTAACGGGCGCCTGGGTGGCTCAGTCAGTTAAGCGTCTGCCTTTGGCTCAGGTCATGATCCCAGGGTCCTGCGATTGAGCCCCACCTCAGGGAGTCTGCTTCTCTCTCTCCCTCTGCCCCTCTTCATGCTTGTGTTCTCTCTCTCTCTCTCAAATAAATAAAATCTTAAAAAAAAAAACTCAGTTTAAGATCTCCCTGCTTCCTAGTGTGACATATGATTTCCAGTTTAAACCTAGACATTTCTGTATTATGTTACCAGGTTCTGGATTTTACATAAACCTTCTACTTTGTCTGACCTTTTCCAAAACTGCTCCAGCAAGTTAAGGGAGTAAGATGTCCAGTGATTACCAGTTGGGAGTTCCCCACTCAGCCTCCATTGAAACCTGAGCGTCGGTAGGTTGTTATCGCTGAGGGGATGGTGGGAGAGGCCATGTCACTACTGGAGGATGGTCAAAGTCCTCTGATATAACACAGGTCGGGGGCCCGGGTGGGACACCTTATTACTGCCTGCTGGGGATAGAAGCCAAGGCTCCCCACTGGGCACCTGCTGGTATGAGTGTGGGTAGGGTAACAGTTTTTTTCTACAATGTCTGACTAGAGTATGGAGGATATTGTCTAAAAGTTTTCTGTCTTGCTAGGTTGACCCTTTCCCTTACTTTTGGCTGTAGAAAACAGGCTTTTCTTTACTTGCTTTGTTTGTGCCGAATGGAATTTCCAGGTTGCTAGCTTTCTCAGCTTCAAGTTTTACCTCACAGAATATGAGGTAAAAAGACAACTCAGGGAACTCATCACCATGAAGTTCCTCAGTCCCAAGGTTCCTAGTTGGTCTGCCTTCTCTCCACTTTTTAGAGTCTCCTTTTTATTATGATCTATAAAATGTAACATTGTAATAAGACCTTTTTATGTTTTTACTCATATTTATCAGAACAAGGAAAAGTATGTCTACTTCATTTTCCATGAGGCGCAAGCATGTCAATCATAATTTTTTTTCCCTTTTAATTGCTGGCTAATAGCCCATTTATGAATACACCGGTTTATGTATCCATTGTATTGATGGGTACCTGGACTATCTCTAGTTTATAGCCATTACGAATGAAGGTACCATGAACATTCTTACACACATATGTATTGATTTCTGTCTGGTAGGTTTATGTTTACTTTTATAAAAGCTGCCAGAGCTTTTTTTTTTTTTTTAAAGATTTTATTTATTTGAGAGACAGCGAGCGAGAGAGAGAGCACAAGCAGGGGAGAGGGACAGAGGGAGAAGCAGACTCCCCACTGAGCAGGGAGCCTGACATGGGGCTCGATCCCAGGACCCTGAGATCATGACCTGAGCCAAAGGCAGACGCTTAATGACTGAGCCACCCAGGCGTCCCTGCCAGAGTTTTTTAAAAAGTCGTGCCATTTTACTCTCCCACAACTGTTTGTAAACGTTTTGGTTATGCCAACTCATTGCAGCTTTAATTTGAATTTCTTTGATGAGTTATGACTGATGAGTATTTTTCACGTGTTAATTGGCCATGTGTATATTTCCTTTGGTAAAGTGTGTTCAAATCTTCACTTCAAAATTGGGCTGTGTGTTTAAAAAAATAAAATAAAAATAAAATTGGGTTGTCTTTTTTATTTAAATTCATTTGTAGGAGTTTGTTATGTATTCAGGATATATACAATTTGTAAATATTTTCTCCCAGTTTGTGCTTTGTCTGTCTGTTTTTATAATAGTGTCTTTGATGAATAGGTTTACATTTTTTTTTTAAAAGATTTTATTTATTTATTTGAGACAGAGAGAATGAGATAGAGCATGAGAGGGAGGAGGGTCAGAGGGAGAAGCAGACTCCCTGCCGAGCAGGGAGCCCGATGCGGGACTCGATCCAGGGACTCCAGGATCATGACCCGAGCCGAAGGCAGACGCCTAACCAACTGAGCCACCCAGGCGCCCATTATTGTTATTTTTTAAGAGGGCTCTATGCCCAACATGGGGCTTGAACTCATGACCCTGGGATCAAAAGTTGTGTGCTCCGCCTATGCACCTCTAAAGCCAATTTAAAGTTTAAACTTGCTTAATAGTAACTCTGGGAATCAGATAATGTAAGTCTTGGGGGAAAAAAACACATTTTTTTAAAGATCACTTTGAATATTCCAGGTTCTTTGCATCTCCATATAAATTTTAGAAAAATCAGCTTATCAATTTTTACAGAAAAGTCTGCTGGTAACAATCTACGTTGCATGGAATATAACAACCGAGGCTCCCTATCTCTAAATGTGGCATTTCTCCATTTATTTAGGTCTTCTTTAATTTCTCTGATAAATGTTTTAATTTTCAGTATAAAGTTCTTGCCTCTTTTTGGATACATTTATTTCTAATTACTTCAATTCTGTTACGCTATTATAAATGTTCTTTAAAAAAATAGTTTTTTAGAGCAGTCTTAGGTTCAAAGCAGTATTGAGCAAGGTACAGAGATTTCCAATACACACACTGCCCCTAAACAAACACAGCCTACCCCGTTACCAACATTCCTGACCAGAGTGGCACATTGATTACTAACTGCTGAACCCACACTGACATATCATTATCACTGGCGTTCATAGTTTACATTAGGATTCGCTCTTGGTCTTGTATATTCTATGGCTTTGGAAAAAATGTATTAATGACATGTATCCATGTCATTAGGTAGTTTCACTGACCTAAAAATCTCTGCGCTCTGCTGGTTCATCCCTCTTTTACCCTCAACTGCTGATATTATTAACGTCTCCACAGTTTTGCCTTTTCCAGAATGTCACATAGTTGGAATCATACACTGTGTATGTAGCCTTTTCAGATTGGCTTCTTTCACTTAGTACAATGACTTTAAAGTTTCTCCATGTCTTCTCAGGGCTTGACATCTCATTTCCTTTTAGTGCTGAATAATATTCTATTGTCTAGCTATACCAGTTTATCCATTCACCTATTGAAGGACATCTTGGTATCTTCCAAGTTTGGGGAGTTATGAATAAAGTAGCTATAAAATGTGTGTGCAGGTTATCATGTAGACAGTTTTCAACTTCTTTGGGTAAACACCAAGGACTGCCCTTGTTGGATGGTATGGTAAGAGCAGTTAAGTTTTACAAGAATACAATGGATTCTTGTATACCGATTTTGTTTCCTGTAACTTTGCTAAAAAAGTTGCAGCAGATTTTGGGGTATCTCTTTGGATTTATCATGTAATCTGTAAGCAGGAACAGTTTTACTTCTTCCTTCCTGATCTTTATGACTTTTTTTCATCTTCCTGCCTTACTGCACTGGCTAGAATATCCAGAATAATGCTGAACAGAAGTAGTGAGGGTGGACATTTTTACCTTCTTTCCAATTTCAGGAGGAAACACTGCATATTTCACCTTTAAGTATGATGTTAACTGTAGATGCCTTTTGTAAGACTGGGGAGATGCCATTCTACTTCTAAGAGTTTCTGCCTGTATGTTTCTCAACTTCGTTCTGTAGC